ATGCGACATCTGTGGCCGATCCTTCGTGGAACAGACCCTCCAGCGTCATGTTAAGATCTGCGAGAAAAACGCTACCAAGAAGAGGAAAACCTTCAACTCTTCCAAGCAGCGGGCCACCGGCAACGAGATCCTGTCAGTGCCAAAAACAGATCCTAAAAAACTTGAAAAAGCGGTAAGACGTGTGACAGTTCAGTGGGAACGAAGCCCGGAAGACCCAGGTCAAGTTTAGTCTTCGTCAAGGTGTTTTTTTCTAGTGTCCATGATGGTATCTGGCTGCTATCATACATTTGCAATCACTAGCCATGCGCTATGCACTTTACAAAGCGTGAACAGTGACCTCAACAACTATATGCAAATCAGTTGGTGAAGGACGAATGCCTCGGGACAACAGATCCTGTTGGCTTTTTTTCCTTAATTTTCACTGGATTTCCATTGACGACCTTGTATGTGAATACAGATGAGATTATTTTTCAGTACTTGGTCATCATCAGTGCACTAGCTTAAATATAGTACATTGGAAGGTACATGTATGCTCAAGCCTCGGGTCTGAGTGCCAAAGTTCCCGAAATTAGAATCCATTCACAACAAAGTGAAGCAACACATGCTTTATATACATTGGCGCATTAAACCCTGTACCGCCCAAAACTGCCCTGCTTATTACTCTATAAACTTGCCTCAACACTGAATGGATTTATAGGTTTATTAGGGAATACATCCAAAGTAATATAAGTGATTCTTGCACATTACAGAAAAGAGCGACAGCCAACTGGCGCAGCAAGCATGAAGAGTTAGTGTCTAATCTTCGAGCAGCTCGAGGGGTCACCCGGGCAATGAAGACTGGGGCACCTCTACCTCCGCCCCCTTCACAGGCAAAGGTTAACCCAGGTGAGTCAGGGGTCAACCTGGGTGGATCAAAGGTCAATCCAGATGGTCAGTGAACATTGGGACACCTCTACCAACCCCACCCCCTCCCAAGCAGGGTCAACCAGGGTGAGTCAGGGGTCATCCTGGGTGGGTCAAACTCAAAGGTCATTCCAGGTGGTCAGTGAAGACTGGGGCACCTCTACCTCCGCCCCCTTCACAGGCAAAGGTTAACCCAGGTGAGTCAGGGGTCAACCTGGGTGGATCAAAGGTCAATCCAGATGGTCAGTGAACATTGGCACACCTCTACCAACCCCACCCCCTCCCAAGCAGGGTCAACCAGGGTGAGTCAGGGGTCATCCTGGGTGGGTCAAACTCAAAGGTCATTCCAGGTGGTCAGTGAACATTGGCACACCTCTACCAACCCCAACCCCTCCCAAGCAGGGTCAACCAGGGCGAGTCAGGGGTCAACCTGGGTGGGTCAAACTCAAAGGTCATTCCAGGTGGTCAGTGAAGACTGGGGCACCTCTTTCTCCGCCCCCTTCACAGGCAAAGGTGAGTCAGGGGTCAACCTGGGTGGGTCAAAGGTCAATCCAGATTGTCGGTGAAGACAAGGGCACCCCTACCCCCCCCCCCCCCCCTTCACAGACAGGGTCAACCGGAGTGAGTCCGAGGTTAACCTATTGGTAGGCGGGTCTTCCCAACTCACCGTTTGTAACCGTTGCAGGGTAACTTGTGCACAGATGTCCATATATGTGTTAGAAATTTTATCAGTGTTTCCATAGTGTCTGTGAATTCAGAGAAACTCGGCGCCACCCTTATTTAATAGTACTTCCCTGCCCCCAGATTATGTGCAATGCCCAACCTGCCAGAGAAACTTCAGCGAGGGTGCTGCAGAGAGGCACATACCTTGGTGTAAAGAGAAGAACAAACGACTACCGACGACTGGTAATAAATCCACAGCTCAGAAGGAGAAACAGGCCATCAGGACACAGGTACTGAAATCAAACAGCTAGGCCTTTTGCTAGGATGCATCCTTAATCCTTTAAACTCCTCCAACTGCCATCACATAAGAACTGGATTCTGCCTCAGTCCTCTAAATCATTCATTTTAAAAAATTTATTTCAATAGAGGGGTGACCACTGTCTTATTCCTTCAAAATCCTCCAAAAATCACTGTTACGTTGAGGCAGTGCTGATGATTTTCAGAAGCATTGTTGATGATAATCAGTTAAATCCAGACAAAGAGGGTCTGGATTTAACATCTGCATTACCTGGAGGGGATAGTTTTACTATATACCACTCAAAGCAGTCAATATTTGTATATGACGCTGCCCCACACAGCACAAACCGCAATTACCAGGCAGCAAGAAGCGACGGATTTTGCCTCCCAAAGCAGGCTCAGCACTAAGGACCAGAAGGACGGTCTGGATCCAACACGTGGAGGGAATAGTTTTACTATTTACCACTCAAAGTAGTCAATATTTGTATACATTTGTTCTACACAGTACAAACCGCCGCTACCAGGCAGTAAGAAGCGTCAGATTGTACCGCCCAAGGCAGGCCCAGCACTAAGGACCGGAAGGACAGGGTCTGGATCCAACGTACAACAGCTGGAGGACCAGTACAGCAATATGAGCATGAATGAGAAAATGCCACCAGGTAGAGGAAGGACAAAACCAGGTCAGTTGCTGAGATATCCTCGACGCTTTTAAAATGTTCTCTTGTACTAGTCTTACTGATCTTGAGGAGTATAGCCTAGTGGTTAGATATCCGGTTTTAAACATACTTGTTTAAAACAGGCCAAGTCTACGACAGGCCAAGTTTAAAACAGGCCAAGTTTAAAACAGGTTAAGCACTTTATTCCCTTATTTCAACACTTATCACCAGGTGGGCGTGGGACAGTCAATGGATCCAAGGCACGGAGCGCAAGTCTGGAACGACGGTTAGAGAAGCCTACTGATAGTTACCGCAGCTCAAGTGGAGATAGCTTACGTGGCAAAAGGTAACTAGTTTTTTTTATATATTTGTTATACAAACTTGGGTTAACTCTTGTTACAATGTACATAAATAATTTGCATTACATACTAACGGGAAAATTTCTTAGGTGTAAATCTATTGTTCTTCAAAACTTGTTATTCTGCTTTTGTAATTCTTATTGTTGTTTACATTTATTTCCATTCTCTTTGCCATTCATTTCTCAATTTCTTTGCATGCTGTTCCATGTACATGTACATTATGTTTCTGTATGTTGTTTGTGTAATGTACATGTTACTCTGCGTATGTGTTATCCATCCACTTACATGCACATTATCCATACGCCGTTCATATGTTTACATATCGTCCACATGTTATCCACATACCGTCATACATGTACTGTCATTTTCACACAATCCATGTTACCCACGTACATGTACCATCCAAAAACATCTCAATCAACCACTAAACATTCAACATGTTGTTGTCAACATGTTATTCACATCCCTTGCTCATGTTACCATCTACAAACCATGCACTTTTTATCCACACGCCATCCTCATGTTATCCACAAACTATCCACATGTCATCCCCATCCTCCATCCATCCACTCGCTACCCATCCCACCATCCACTAGATACACTGATGATGAAGATGAATATGATTACAATGTCTACGGTGATACGGCAGATCGCTACGGTCGTAGGAGAGCAGGGTCCAATCACATATTGCCCCATCAACGCGTGAGGGCCGCCAAGGAGCTGAGGTTGGTATCCCGACGACTACCCCTCCCCTTTCCATATACCAGCCCCTCCCCCTACTCCTCCCGCTAAAAGTGATACACCTCATGATAGACTTTCTGAGTTGAATATGTCTCTTTCAAAGATTGGAGTACAGTTATTCAGTTGTAGCATGTTAGTGCTTGATGTCTTATACATTCTAGTGCATGGTGGTCTTGGGCCGGTCTCTACTCAGTGAGACAGCACATGCGAACCACAATTTATATACCCATCGTGCTTTGGAATAAAGCATGAGGCAATTTGTACCAGGCAATGTCATTTGATCCACAGGCTATTTCAAAGACGAAAAGGACGGATACAAATTTAAATTGCTTGAAATATTCTGGAGAATTTCCATTAACTGTGGGACTTTGGTACATTGTAATTGGTTCTTCAGTGATTACGAGTGAATTTGGTTGCCGCCAAGTTGTTTGTAAAAATTGCCTCACATGACTTAACCCTTTGTTTATATTTACACTGCAAGTGCATTGTAAGGAAAATAGTACAATGTTGTCTCTTGTATAATTGTGTGTCTTTCTTCAGCTCACCGACCTCCAGGACCCCCACCCCTCCTTCCAAGGCCTCATCGGGCTCTAACCTCCAGAGAAAAGCTAGCCTGGAAAACGTCAACGGTCGCCGAGCCTCTAAGTTCTGCCATGAGTGTGGGACGCAGTATCCTGTGGTACAGGCTAAGTTCTGCTGCGAGTGCGGGACCAGGAGGGCCTATTTTGACTGAAGTATTTATAACCTCTGCATGGGTCAGAGTTCATGTCATTTGAATATTTATGCTGTTCTTGAGAGAGCTTCACCAATCAGGGTACAAAAAATTAAAATCACCTTGGCACACTAAAAAGGCAACCAGTTAAATCTTAGAATCAGGGTAGAAACCATCAACAGTGCAGTCCGGCGTATTGAATTTCAGGGAAATGGTTGGTAAACACCCTTCCCCCCCCCCCAACATTTGCTTAGATGCTTAGTCTAAAATCTCTTCAAGGCTTCCTGGGAAATATTGTGATGTGTTTACACCAGCGTGAGAGTGCCGTGGTCCAATGGTTATAAATGGTATTCGACTCGTGTGCCGTGGTATGTGGGTTCAAAGCCTGACAGGGAACATGGGGACTGTGTTCTTGGGCAAGACACTTTACTACAATTGCCTCTCTCCACCCAGGAGTATGGGCACCTGTGAAGGTAGAGACCAGATTGTGCTGATCTCAGGGAGCGGCAGAACCACGGGTCTCACGGCCTGTTGAACAGGGGTAATAATTATGAAGACCTTTGGTATAAAGTGCTATAAGCTGAAACATCACATTATTATTATTATTTGTTATTCAATTAGCATTATTTCTATGCTGCCAAAAAGTATATAAACTATATGGGTACAATGTTTTCATTGGAAAGTATTCACTTTATTCCGTGTTATGACTATAGGATATTGGTCAGTGACCATGAATTATCTACAAACAAAAAATTGGTTCAGTTCAGGACCATGGTTATTATAAAAAGAGGAACAAATGAATTTTAAGCCAAATTAAAGTTGTATATATAAAAAACAGACAACGTTTTAGAATTAATTGTTTCCTGTCTGTATATCGTGTGGTGCTGTTTCTGTGATGTCAATTGACATGATTGAGGCACCCACTTCAATTCTGTACAAATTGTGAATTTAAACTAAATCTAGCTCAAAATAATTCTTTTTCTAATTTTGGGTGAGATTACATAAACAGTACCTTGAATTAAATATTTTCTTTTGTGATTAGTAGCTTGCTACGCACCCAGTGAATTATGGATCTGTATTATTTGCTGAACAATCGCTAGTTTTTTAATTTGTAAAATATTATGTTGCTCTTTGAGTTGATGTATATGAGGCATTGAGGCTGTATATTATGTTTTGTACATTATTTTTGAAATCATTCCAATGAACAGTCACTACATGTACATGTAGAACTGAAAAAATGTGTAATTCTTTGCCCCCTAAATAGCCTGTCCAGATTTTAAAAAAAATGAAAACACAAAAATTGGCACAATTTCCGTGTATACACTTACACACGTGTACTGCCATTTATAAATGTAAATATTCGTGTATGTACATATGTTAGGATAGAAAAGATGCACTGTACTTAAACTTAAACTATAACAGTCAATGTTGAAAGTTCTAAGCATCCCCAGATTTAAATTTTATCACATTCTTGTATTTACATGGTATTTTTCAAGATCTCTCGCCATCTCATTTCCACCATTTTTCTCAACCATAGAAAGTTCACTTGGGATGAGTTTGCAAAACCATTCTACCAAGAATGTTTTAATGAATATGAAAAATTGCAAACTTAAGACAGCTGAAAGGGTTTCAAACCACATAAAACGTTCGTGTTGTACCCTTGGGAAAGGTTGTAGAGCATGTGTATGTAGCTTATGTGCAATATGTACGTATTATCTGCATGAAAATAAACAAAGGACAATGTACATGAACACAGTCTTGTAACATCTGAGTGTTTGAAATGTGTCTAGTTAAAAACCAAGCAGACGAGAGAAGGTGACAAAAATGTTGTTGGAAACTTACTTTTCAGGTCGCCCATAAAGCTCACGAGATGGTTAATTCAATTGGGAACTTAAAATTGATTTTTAAAAATGAAAAGATAATAATTACAAAATGTTTTGGAGATGGGCATTATTTCTAAAATTGAAACATTTCTATTTGACGCGAGTACATGCGAGGCATATATCTGCACACCGTAATGTCCAAACAAAATACCCCAAAACAGGAGAAATTTAACCAAAGGAAGAACACTTATTCAGTAACGAAGAGTTAAATGAAGGCAAATTACGCAATGCCAATCTTATCAAATTTTCTACAATATGAACCATTAACGATCATGTACCTGCCAGAGAGTTAGTGACTGGTAGGTACCGTCTCAACAGCTACCACAACAAAATGGCCATAACTGGATTACTGTAATACATTTTCAATGGCACTAACCGTGAGTGCAAATGTACATTTTGTATTACACAAAAATAACGACACCTTATAATATAAAGTGAGCTGAGCGTATTAAGCATACAGTAATGAGGATAATAACTTGCCAAAATAATGTGCTAAAGTCACCAAATACCAGCAATATACCTACATATATACCTACATTCATATACCTACTCAAATACCGTCACTAAAACATACACAATTATAGAAAAGGTTTTGAAATTAAGCTCACCTAATGTATGAAAAGGTTCCTTCAGAAGCCATATAGGCGAGGGCTCATGTAGCTGCACAGTAATAGCAACGTGATGCAACGGAAGAACAAGTATTGTGGCTGAACTCAAGAAAGAACAACGCTCTACAACATGCTACTTTTAGGGCGGTGTGCACGAATGACTGTCTTGAATTTCGCGCTGCACCACGCCCGCACTCGTCAGGTGGGGTGTAGCGCGCCCTCTTTTGAAGGAAATAGGCTACCACGCATTAAGTAATATTATATGGAACAAAACCGCACTCGTTTTCCGGACGATAACTCAAAAGTAGTCACATTGAATCGAAATGTCGTATATAATATATTAGTGATATGTAACAAAATTCTGTTGAATATCGGGGGAAATTGTCAAATAATAAAAATAATATAACAATACCAATGTAGTGAGTGTGTTAAGCGCAAAAATACAAGGCGAATTTAAGTCCACTTTCATAACATAAAAATAGCACACTCGGTTTTCAATAGTACGAGCACTACACCACTATCACTTCAACTTGTTTGTCTAAAAATAATAGGTCATGTAAATCCCTACAAATCTTCAATAACGCTCGAGGCGCATTATTTTCATCTCTGACGAACTGTTTGTCCGCGCTCCGTGTGTTAATTCTTCTTGCCTCTCGCCCCTCCGCCGAGTAGAGCTTTCTCTAGCCCCATGACCGGGCCTTCAACGCCGATGGACAGTACGAAGGCCGCCGCGTAGGCAAACACAGTGTTGGAAATGAACATGGAAGCCTGTCAGGAAATTGGGTATAAGATAAAAGTCAGCCAGTTATCTTTTGCTGTTAAAAGACTAAGGAAAAATTAGGTTAATGGACGTAGCTGTTGGAACTCATTTTTGATACTTAATTTTTTTGTAAACGCTGCACAGGGTTAAAAAACAAAAATAAGCAATGAAATTTAAATACAAATGTGCTTCAAGAGTTGTTTAAAGTAGTTGTTTGATTCTGCTCAGGAATGGTTACTTACATATTGGATGTAGGTGAAGTGATATTGGGACTTGGCGGTTGTGTAGAAGGAATACATGAGAATCGGATGAAGCAGATATGCACCGAAGGTGATGCGACTCAACGGTGCCCAGAAGCCCCAGCTCAGGAGGGCGTTGACGGGGCCTATACAAGGTGTGGTAAAACGGTCACATTAACAAGCTGTAGGTTACGAGAATCCTAGGTTGAACTGAGGAGGACTCGCTTTCCCAATTTTTGATCTTGCCTAAAATGTAATATAAAAATCTCATAAAAAGTGGGTTATAGTAGAAAAAAGATTCGCAGAATCAGCATAATTCAATTATGTGTGATATAATACAAGTAAAGCGTGCAACTTTTCAAAGAAACTGTTAACAACATTCCATTTCTTTCGCTGCTGTTTACCCTAAGTTTTTAAGTGACTTGTGAACTGATTTCATATTACTTAATTACGTTCAGTTCAACAAGATCACTATAGGTCATCCCAAATTATGTCTTAAGCGGCTATTCATCACCACCCTCTTCATTACTATAAGCGTTATCATCATCAACATCAATTTCTTTGAAATGGAATCACAGAAGTTCTCATCTTTTTTTCTTATCAGGTAGAAGAAGAAGGACGTGATACCAATGCTTACCTCCATAGCCTGTGACGCATGCAAATGCCACCCAGCCCACGGCCATAACAAATGCTGCTCGACTGAAAACAGTATACATCACCGCAGCATACTGCGGTATGGGCTCTCCATTGCTACGATATGGTCCATAAATGATAGCTAGGCCCACTCCAACGGCTACAATCCACATGGCGACATTGATCCACTAAAAAAAGAAAAACAATAGAGGAAATCATTGGATTGATTTTAAAGATCTTTAGGACGTAAGAGTTTAGGTATGAGGTTTAGGTTTGGATGAATTTGGTAAGGCCTCATTGTGTAATAGGGCTGAATGAAGCAAGGCTATGAGTTTGAATTCATGACCTTTTTAGGCCAAATTTTACGTGATTGGGCTGATCAAGTAATCGGTGAGAAAATTGTTTAATTCAAGTGTTAATGGCGGTCGAATGGCCAGGTCATGTGTTTGGTTGGGTAAGGATGAATTACATTGAATGTGATTGTTTCAGGTTTGGTTGGTTTGACTTGGGCTTGTTTTGCGCCAGATTCAGTTGGATATATATTTTTTAATTGTGTTTAATTCGTAGTTTGATATGCCTTGGTTGGGTTGGGTTGGGCTGGGTTGGGTTGGGTTGGGTTGGGTTGGGTTGGGTTGGGTTGGGTTGGGCTGGGTTGGGTTGGGTTGGGTTGGGTTGGGTTGGGCTGAGCTGGGCTGGGTTGGGCTGGGTTGGCCTGGGTTAAGCCGGGCTGGGCTGGGTTGGGCCAGGTTGGGCCAGGTTGGGTGGTGTTGAGCTATGTGGGGTGTGATGGTTGAGTTGGGGTTGCTACTAGATTAGGTAAGGTTAACCCTGAGGTTTGGTGGAGTGGTAGCATAATTAACTCTCTCACCTTGCTCATCTTGAAGGGTTGCCCATTCAGTTTGTAGAAGACGTACCCAAACACCATGCCCACCAAATACGCAGGAATACGGCAGTAAGGCTTGCCGTATATGATGTCCGGATTGCCATTCCCATAGTCTATGATTGTGTTGTTGTTGCTATATGGTCTATGGGCAAAACAAATTACAAAACGAATTACAAATGTGTAGTACGAGTGGAATTTCTTTCCATTACTTTTAATTGGAAGGCATGTTTGCCTATCGGTGTTTTTACTAGAACGCAAATGGACCCGTCATTTGTAATGACGAAAAATCATTGGAGTTACAAAAGCAATCCAGGCAAAACATAAAGCTATTTGAGTCACACTTACGGGTTGATGGCTACACCAAGAGTTACCCCGTACTTGGTAGCTATGTATGCAGTGATGCCGAATGAGGCAAGACACAGTGCAACGATCAGTCCAAGGCCCAGCTTGGAATACCTGCAGAAAATGTTATCAGTGAGTCATTACAGTTTATACAACACCTGAATAAATCTCCGTCATCTGATTGGTGAATTGTAGATCACGTGACATATTATTATTCAGTATAATGCACGGTGCGACCGTGCGTTATACCCATGCATTATACCGTTTCACTTTGCGCTTGTTCCATGACGCGGTATTTGCGTGCAAAATGCATGCTGGTATGCGCGTTCAGCGTAGCGCGTATTGTTCCAAAGAGCCAGCGCTACAGCGTTGGGTTCAAACATTTTCGTGAAGGGGTAGTTCAACATCTTTAAAATCAAAATAAATTGTAGTTTATAATTTACCAATCAAATGACGAGAATTTATTCAGGTGTTGTATAAAACAAATAACGAATGTTTTACGTTCGTGCGATGGATATTAACATTCAGATTAGAGATATCAAACGGATCTGTTTTGTCATAACAACAATAAGTTAAATCGCAATTCTACGTTCATGGTTTTTCCGAGCTGCGTACATATCCCGTAACCGCACCATTTCAAATGGTCCGGATATTGATTTTTCAGACTGTCCCGTCTAAACTTACTGATTTTTAGTTGCAGTCAGCAGATCCTATAATTTTAAAGGCTATTCAATTTTGGCAGTTGACTAATGTCAATGAAGCAGTAGATTTTCTTTATGCGAAGATTATTATAACTAGTCTAATTATACTCACTTGTACAACAGGTAGATGATGATGGGGCTAATGACGAAGAACTGCATATCATTCGCCAGATACCACGACCAACCCATACACTATACAAATCATAACCAAATGCATGCTCATAAAATCACCAGTGGTAAAACAAATAAATGTTCACGTTTAATAGAAGTACGTTATTATCGCACTCCCTGATCTGAATTATGTGATCAGTCAAGAAAACTCTCGCAAGGCACTGTTTTATATTTGAATATATCACTTTTATGACTGGGTAGTAATGTGCCAGGGATTTGACTCGATGATAATTATTTATAGTTGATAGTTGATTGGATGGAACGCAAGTATCGCTGACCTCATGTACACTCACAAGTGCTGAAATAGGGCTTACGTACATCGATAATTGAAGGTATTATGGTCGGTCTAAAACGCACAAACTCTATAGTAACACTCCCACTTTTGCATGAAATGTAAACGGGGATAAAGCTAAGCCGCACAACTACGTTTGCTTTCCTGCACGAAGTTCATATAGTCAATCCTTACTTCTTCTAACACAATAAACGACACGTTTGGAGGCATTACCTGCTGACCAAGTTGGCCAGGAAACGGATACAAGTTGTTGATATAGAGTAAGTTGGTCCACCATCGTTCCCTGCACATATTAGCCGCCGATTCGAACAGGTCTACCTTGCCTGGACCCTCACCGAAATGAACGATCAAAGTTGTCCAGACAGCGATGCAGATCATGTAGGCCGGAGTGATACGGATGAAGCGATGGAGATAGAAGAGAAACCAGTTCAGTCTACCGTTGGCTTTCTGGAGATGCTTCAATGTCAAGTACGTCAGAAGGAGACCGCTACGGTATGAAATTTGGGAAGAAAATCACTCTTGTTGTCGGAATTCGACACAAGGGATCTTTAAACATTGTGTGTTATCTTCAATGATTTGAGTAAAGCTTGTGACGACTATAGGCACTGGATGTCTTGTGTTGGACTTGTGATGGACTCGACTTCAATACATGAAGAGTATTTTTTCAATAAGATTTTCTTAACTATCACTTTACCTGAGGAAGAAGAATGTATCCACGGACACAGTGGAGTAAATGATAGCGGAGAACCAGAATGATTGGTAGAGCTCCATACCCGTGTAGCGAGGATCATCTATGAAATGAACAGGGAATTGTTTACTTTGACCCAGGTTTTCTTCCCTTCCCATCCATGTCAAATATTGCTCCTCTACGAAAATGAACTTTCTCTATTCAGACTCGATTTCATGCCTCGCTAATAAGAAGCAAACGATAGTCTTTTCTGTTTTAGCCTCTGAAGAAGAACTTGCTAAGTTCGCAACGTCAGGCCACATTAATTTTTAGATAATCTGTTGAGTCAGAGCACCGAGTACAGCAGATACCAATACGAGGAGGAAAAACGCTTAACAATTTGATACAACAGCAGAAATCGTCCTGAGCACACACGAAGGCCGTGAAATACTTGTAAGTTTAGTCAACCTGACGTACAATATTTTAGAAAAACCGTATTTTTTTATTAACCGATAAGCGCCACAAAATTGGTTCCTTATATCAAGCTATCCTTAAACCGGGGTGGAACTGGTTTAAACAAACCGTTACTAATAATATAATTGAAACAAGTTTTAGATATTGTTCTGCAACAAAGAATTAGGTAGGTCTACATCCTACATTTTGATGTATCTCATTAAAATCTATTTATGATTAATTTCTAATGATGTGACCTACCTAAGAACGGCGTTATGAAATAGATGGAGTGTCCCAGAATAATCCACCACATGCTGATGACGCGGATGCCGTTCAAAACGCCCAGGTTTCCAGCCGTTTCCTTGGTGTTCAAGATCTTCGAGCCGTTGTGCAATGCCGAGAACCCCATCATGATAGCATCCAGAAAACCTGTAGGAACAAACAAACGGCTTTACGGAGTCTAGGATGAAGACATAATGGCCGACTAGATTCAACCTCATTCCCAGGGTGTAAATCCTTGGGACCAGTTTGGTCTAGATTGTAGTTACTATACAAAGGATGTGTGTAAGTTAGTAGCAGAATGATAATATTGGGATCCGAAAACTCATTATTTTCTTCTCAAATTCTGGCGGTTTGATGCGGATTTTTAACATTTTGTTTGATGCTTACCTAAATTGAAATAAAAAAGAACTCACCCATTTTCTTAACCTTTTTCTTGCTGGCTCTAATCGTGCATGTGCAGCCATGCGCGTGCGCAGTAGGCTTGGTGTGCTCCGCGGCCTCTTGAGCGTCCTCTACGTCGACGAACCCACCGTTGGTATAATGTGGAATGCTGCCGTTGTTTTCCACGTCATCTTTCCCCGTCCAATAGACGGTTCTGATGATTCCATTCCCATACTCATTTTCTTTCTGTAAAAGAACGATATCAAAGCAATACATGAGAATTAGGGACCATTATGGAAATTATGTGCGCACGGGAGGTGTGTACGGCGCCTATTATGGCATCATTTGGCGTTCATGTCCAAATCAAGTTCTGTGTTTTGTGATTTGTTTTTAAGAATCTTTATTTTGTTCGCAATCCGCAGTAATACTTTTGTCCGCCAGTGCAGGAAAAAAGAAAAAGAAAAGGAAATGGAAGGAAAGAAAGTGGCTAAAGAAAGATTCTGATTCGAATGCACACACCTGTTTCATAGTTTTGTTAGTGTCTTCTTCCATCTTCTCAATTTTGCCCTTGGTTTTGGTAATGTTGGCCTGGATTCGTCTTCGGACTATCACGTGATACACGGTGCCTATGGTAACCAATAGGAGAATGACACCCAAGATGCACCTGCGAATAGAGTCAAGTACGTCAGTTTGTACCGGTGTGGTGTCAATGTTGAGTACTGTGTGACAGTTTTATGTTGAAGTCAAAGATTATTTTAATGATGGGGGGGGGGGGACCGGTAGTCTGGGTATCATCCGTTATTTACTAGAGCCCACACGTACGCTCCGCAACAACGTCTGATCATGGGCGTTGCCAATTTTTTTCTAGGGAGGGGGGAGCTCTCAAATGACTTGCCCATTCCACTCCATTGACACCACAGCGAACGTCCATGTTATTAACACTAATGGTGCTATATATGATTGTAAACAAACGTTATGAATACACAACGGCCTGATCCATTCGGCCCGCCATCATGTGTTGACTTATGTGACATAACCGTGATTGCGCTCATACTACCCTTCCCCCCTACTTTCGACTGACCAAAGTTAATGATTCACATAATGGAAAATTCCATTAAGTTCCCGTAACTAAATAACGTCATCAAGAAATATTGCAAGTCTTGAGTTAATCGCTCGGAGCATTTGCTCGTATTTGCTTCTTTACAACAATGTCTGATCCAGAGCCTCCCCCCCCCCCCACACACACATACAAGTCTTGGATCTCACGCTTTGGACAATCCCGAACCTGCCACTGCAAATAGAGGTGGCACAAAAGAGCAAACCATTGGAATATGCGCTGTCATGGTTTACTTTGCATCATTTAAAGCCTTTGTTCATCCACAAATATTGATCTTAAGTCGTCATGGAGAGGCTGTCCGCACCATGTTGGGTCCACAGTAAAGTGAAAGTAAAGCGCTTCACAGACTGTTCGCCCAAAAAGTAAACACTTTAACTGCAAACATTGGATCATGATGTGCTTGGGAATCGAATTCGGAAAAACAACAAAATATATTCCTTCCACCGTGTGTCATTGTACAACCAACAAAATCAGAAGCATATTTGAAGGTGTTGTTCATCACGAAATCGTCTTGAATATTTTCAAATAAGACCTGAAAGTTTGGAAGATTGACAATCATTGGTGTTTTAGGTTTGCAGTAGCACCATGTAGTCAATATCTTTGGTGACGTGTGTGTTTCTGAAAACATTAGTGAGGCGTTCTGGCAAAATGAAACGGACCTGCGCACAGGCCGAAGTGGAGGGGAAAAAGAACCGGTTTCAGTATTTTCTATGAGGGCAATGACATAACAAAATTCAAATGAATAAAGAAATTGAAACGAAACGAGGCCTTTTACTTACAACGTTACAATGGCTCCTGTCTTCCAGGGGTAAGGGACGACACAACTGAACTCGGCACTTGACCCGATTTCTACGTATGCAAATACAAGATCCCTACAGTTTAAAAATAATCTCTTGCGATTTTTAGCGTAGCAACCACAGACGAAAAATATTCAATTTGAAGTTCACTTTCCACATAAAAAATGATAGCAAGGTCGTCCCCGCTTTTTAATTTTTAGAGAGAGCGCAAGACGTCCTAAATCGGCCGTAAAAACAAAACATTTAATTTCAAAATTCGTTAGGAGTAAAAACAATTCCAATTTATGATTAGCCCAGGGTATAAACAAACGAATTAAAGAACATTTCGACGATGGGATAGTGCAGTGGGTTCGGGTTTCCTCAGAATTTTATTCTTCAGTTGGTCCTTTCCTACCTGGAATACTTTGGACGATTTCCTTGAGATCGGCTTCGGTGCAGCTGGAGGGCACGCACAAGCCCACGGTGAGCGTTGCGACCTGCAGATAAAGTACCAATGTTACGTGTCACACAGATGCACATGAATAAACCTGTAAGTCTCGGTAATTCTCCCACATTGTCGGTTTCTAACGGATGTCTGATTGGAAAAAAAACATGCGGTAAAATGTACCGCACTACGGCTGTTTTGGAACAAAGAGGTCTGGTAGAGATATTGTTCTTTTCGGGTTTTTATTTCAATTTGAATCATCTCTGCATAAGATGACGTGGCTGAAACCTGTTAGGTCAATTTTGATTAAGACTTTTAATGTGATTCTCTGTTTGGGTGGCGAAAACAATACACTCTGATACATACCGAGGCCCAGTAATTGAGGCTACAGTACTTCGTCTGGAATGGAGCGTCTTGGTTCCAGACATTCACTGCCTGACATTGCTCAAAATTGCCCAGACTGGCTGCATTGTACGTCGTCAGCACCTTCAGATTTAGAATGTCTCCGTTTGATAGCCACACTGTTAAAAAAATAAGATATTCAGTTATTTCTTTCATGTTTTTCGGAAGTTCATAGATGTCTTTACTGCCGACAAAATGCTGCGTCCAATAGGCCATGTAGAAATTGCAATACATTGTTACATCAGAATATTGTGATTATTTGGTTTTGTTTACAAATGCGAATTTCAACACCAAGTCTCGAGATCAACTGAAGTGAGTAAAGGTTAATTCGAAATTCGATCCTATTTAGAAAGTACTTTTGAGGTTAACGTTTGTTTTGTTGGAACAAAAACGATACTAATTCGAAAAAGCCTGAAAACATCAGATGACCAATATGTTAATGTTTGTTTTGCTTGCACACTTCCGAACGATAACTTCTACATCAAAAACAATTTTCAAAAGTTTTAACACACTCACAAATTTATGATGTTCCACGTATTGACAATAATAATATGGTTATATTTTTTGGTACCATGACAACAAAATGGCTGTTCTTGCTTTCATTATTGCCTATTTGAAAATTGTTATAAAGAAATGTTCATGACGACATAAATTGCCGATTGTTAACAAGAAACGGCTCGTAAAACGCAAATTTGATATGAATTAATATTAGAAGTAATGCACTAAAAGAAATATTACGGGTGTATCTCTTTGTGAAAATGTTCGTTTGTTTTAAAATTGATTAGGGCCAGCTCGGCCACAGTTTTCCAATCAATACAAGATTTATTGGGTGAGTAAGCCTACCATCGCTGAAATCTTTCCATCATGAAAAGCTTCGAATCCTATTATGGATTTTCACATCTTTATATCGTGAATACAAGACTAGATAAGTGGATCCATGAGTTCAGATATGCGTTCAAATTGAAGGAAAATGTGAGGCTACTCACTTTGGCTCGCGTATGGCTGGCCGTTGCCTATGTCGGTCAGAAACTGCAGAGTGTTGTTCGCGCAGACCGTGGAGACATTTTGGAGAACATTGTCTTGGAGATACCTCGCGAGCACATTTTGGGCGGCCATCGTCAAGCCCTGCAAGTCTAACTCCTCGGGTACTAAGCCGAGATCCACAAGGAGTTGCCGTACGTCTTTAAGAGTCGTCGAGTTTTCTGAGAACAAGTCAAGTCCCGCGGCCGAGCTGTTGGAAACGAGAAGAGCTTGGAGTTGTTGGGACAAGTCGTTCAGCGAGACAGAAGCTAGTGTCTCAGCTACTTGCTCTACGAGGGCGTCAGGAACTGGTGCGTCCCCGAGCAGCTGACGGATAAGTTGCTCTATGATAGCAGCCTGGACTTGATCGCTTCCGTTATCTGGAGATGATATAAGTTCTCCGAGAATCTGGGTTAAACTGTCGAGCAAGCCCGAGGCCACAAGTTGGTCTATGACTTCGTCCGGGACACCCGCGTCTCTAAGCAGCTGACGGACAACCTGTTCTATGATCACGGCCTGAACTTGATCGCTTCCACTATCCGGAGATGATAAAATCTCCGCGAGTGCCTGGGTTAAACTTTCGAGCAAGCCCGAGGCCACAAGTTGGTCTATGACTTCGTCCGGGACACCCACGTCGCTTAGCAGCTGACGGACAACCTGTTCTATGATCACGGCCTGAACTTGATCGCTTCCACTATCCGGAGATGATAAAATCTCCCCGAGTGTCTGGGTTAAACTGTCGAGCAAGCCCGAGGCCACAAGTTGGTCTATGACCTCGTCCGGGACACCCGCGTCGCTTAGCAGCTGACGGACAACCTGTTCTATGATCACGGCCTGAACTTGATCGCTTCCACTATCCGGAGATGATAAAATCTCCGCGAGTGCCTGGGTTAAACTTTCGAGCAAGCCCGAGGCCACAAGTTGGTCTATGACCTCGTCCGGGACACCCGCGTCGCTTAGCAGCTGACGGACAACCTGTTCTATGATCACGGCCTGGACTTGATCGCTTCCACTATCCGGAGATGATAAAATCTCCGCGAGTGCCTGGGTTATACTTTCGAGCAAGCCCGAGGCCACAAGTTGGTCTATGACCTCGTCCGGGACACCCACGTCGCTTAGCAGCTGACGGACAACTTGTTCGATAATCGCTGCTTGGACCGGATTGCTTCCGTTAGTTGGGGAAGCAAGAATATCTTGTAGCGGTTGGATCAGACTGTCCAGTGAGGTGGAAGCTAGCAGATTGGCTAGCTGCTGTACGACCTCGTCTGAGACTTGTGCGTCTCCGAGAAGCTGACGGATAACTTGTTCGATGATCGCAGCCTGGACTTGATTGCTTCCATTGATCGGGGAAGATAGAAGATCCTGAAGTGGTTGCATCAAACTGTCCAGCGAACCAGAGGCTAGGAGTTGGGCTAACTGCTGTACTACTTCGTCCGGGACGTCGTCTCCGAGCAGCTGACGGATATATTGCTCTATGATTGCAGCTTGGACTTCTTCGCCAAGCAAATCCTGAAATTGCTGCAGCGGTTCATCACCAACGGCAGGCGAATCCGTAGTCGCCTCATCTCCACCCACCAAAAGTTGACGGATGAGTTCTTCGATGCTCCCGTCCTGTGCTAGGTCGATACCTGGAAACAGGTCCTGGAGTTGCTGGAAGAAATCACTTGGTGTCTCGGTGGCTGTCACCCCAAGGGAAGAATCCTCTCCCTGCCCCCTGCATAGCTGTGGAGTAAGGACTCCGACGAGCAGGAAAACGATCAGAAAAGGTCGAGCCATGGTTGAGCTAGAACTTGCTTCACTTTCTAGCAGAATGATTCTCATAATGGGAGACTCGGGTCTTATATCCAAATCTATTTGCGGAGATCTTTACAGAGAAGTCCATTCTATGTTTGTGCGCCGTCTTAGAAAAATCCTTTCAACAAACATCAGAGATCATGCAGCATTTGCTTCTTCTTATATAGTTTTTTTGTTAAAGGGAATATACAACATTTGCAAACATCGAAAAATAAAACTACCAAGTTTTTGCGAAATACCTTAATAGGATGTTGGTAAATGACAGTCTAAAGCATCCTGTAAAATTATGGCACCTGGTATACTGTCATTTTCAAGAAAAGTGGTATTTTTGTATCAATTTCCAACGCTGATCGGCCGATCAGCGTTGGAAACAACTGGCTTTTTTTTTTAAATACTGGCCCCAATTGACCATTGCACTTGTTTGCAATCGATTACAAACCTATGAACGGGTACGAGCCAGCTAGACTGGTTCCCTGACCTTACAATTCCCCAATGTATGTAAACTGCTCTGTTTCTTCTTATATGGAGTCAGGGAACCAGACTACAGGAAAATGATCGTTTTTCTTGGTTTTTATAGCATTTTCGAACCCAAAACCTCAAAAAAGTCAGTGTAACTATATTTGCTTTATATTTCCAACCCCCCAATTCCATCCATTTCTGAAAATTACAGCAAAAGCAAATGATGTATATTCCCTTTAACTAAGGAATTGCCGTGGACATTATTTGTACAAGTTAGTCGCTTTACATCACGAACTGTTGGTTTTGCCCTGTCACCGACATAAGTGCTGTGTTAGTCTTGGTTCAACACGCCGACCAACGTGCACTGTTTGTTCCACATAGTAGTAGTGCGCCCTCACACGATATATTTCGGTTCAGAGAAAAATTATTTATAACGTCATCTCAAGGACACTTGAATGTTGAACGACTATCTCTCCCCTGTCTATAAAGTGTCTGGCTTTCCTTGCCATAAGCTCAATACGAATAATTCATAGCAATCATAATCATTTCACATTGTAATGTACATTAAGCAACGCTTTCAACCGAGTTGAAATGCAAGTTCAACATTAAAGGGCCGTACAATTTAAACACACTCAAATTAAAAGGGATCGTGACATGAAATTTACACAGGATCATCGTGAAAAAATTCATTCCTCACAAAGGTGTGAAACTCTTTCTGTTGAAAATGTTTGTGAAGTGCTCTTTTTGATGTACCGTCCTTTTCGTCACAACTGAAGGCGCTGTTGCTGTGACGACAGTGAGGCATACATTAGAGTTCAAAGGGCTTTCTGTTCAAATATAGAACCAAAACAAAATACAGAAACAGTTTCATAATGTTTTCTCATAAAATTGCTTTGCACTGTAACAACAATGAATTACCAAAAACAGAAAACATTATACAGCGAAAAAATCCGAAATTCTGGAAACATTTGTTACTGAAGCAGTTATTGTAACACGGAAGTTTGTGCTTTATTATGACAGCACAGCATCGAAACTATACATTGAAAATGGTAATACGAAGACTGAAGTGAAGGTAAAAAAGACACGTCATGGGTGCATTTTCAACGATTTAATTAAAAAAACAGATTTGTTTTCTTGTTCCCCAGCCCAGGCGCACCTTTGAATGTATGTAAATTAGAAAAAGTACCCTTTGTTAACTAGTGGTTGATTTGTGAAGCGGCACCCGGCGTACTAATGTCGGTCCAACCATCTAGTAGCGCTCTTTCGTTTTGGACGGTTTCATGACGGTTCGTGACAGCTCGTCATGACGGTCGTCCTGGCAAATCATAGTCCTCGCTAAAACGAACAGAGGAGCCAGTTGATATTGATCACGCCCCTTCGTTTCAGCGAGTATTGTGATTGGACAGGACGACCGTTATGACGAGCTGTCATGACGAACCGTCATGACTAACCGTCCAAAACGAAAGAACGCTAGTAGGAAAGCTGACGGCTGGTTGTCAGCTGCGCATGGGAAATATATACGCACCGTGAGCTACAAAGCTTTACGGCCATTCTATGTACGCTAGTAGTCACTGAATCTTGTGGTGACTATAGTGTGATCATGCACATATTGCGTTTGGGAAAAGTTAGTTGAATTAAATGTCCATATTTCTTGCTCGATATCGGTCTATATTGGTGGTGTGGTAGCAGATAACACAGATAGTTCACATCGAGTCTCGCAGGCAGTTACGTTAAATTGCATCATGGAGCAGAATATTTTCCAACTCGAATTGTACAATATGAATGCGTCTAACGACGATGAGCCAGGGAACTTCTGTTCGATACCAGACGCACCGATTCTCGATCTCTCGGATCCCAGTATCGCAGCTCGCTATGAGTACGACTCGGTTCAGAGCGCCCTTGTCACGATCGTCTACCCATGCATCTGCCTATTCGGTATTCTGACTAACTCGATATTTCTGCTGACGGTTATTCGGGTACCGTACATGAAGAGCATAACCAACATCTATCTGAGTAATCTGGCAGTATCCGTCGGATATCATGTTTCTGTCAACAGGTAATTTGCAAAGCAATGTTAGTTACTAGACACAGACCTATACAATCTGTATCAAAACAAAATGCACACCAAATATAACGGAATGCCAGACGTAGAATGTGTTACCAACCTAGGTAATATAGGTTTGGTTGGAAATATACGCCTTTCCACTTTAAAATGAGACATCAAACGTCCAATAAATCTGATAATTTTTGACATAGTTAGGCCGAGTAATTTTCTAAGAGAAGTCAAATTGACCATGGGACCAAATTTTCAATTTTAGGCGTTGGGACAAAGGTAGCCTTATATAATTGCCTCTGTCTGGATATTCGGTGGCCTACAAAAAAATATTTAGCGAGTAAACTCACTTCTAAACACTTTCTTACTATCATTTTGTAAAAGTGCTAAAAAAAAATTAGCATGAGGTGATAGCAAGGAAATGTTTATAAGTGTGTTTACTCGCTTGTAGACCAGGCACATATCAACAAAGAGGCAATTAGGCTTCCTTATTGTCCCAACCAACGCCTAAAATTTAAAACTTGGTCCCATGGGCAATTTGACCTCTCTTGGAAAATAACTCATAACTCTGTCAAAAATAATCAGATTTGGGCGTTTTTAAAGTTGAAAGGTGCATCTTTCAAACCATTCCAATATTATATATGTTGGTTACACATTCTGCGTCTGGCATTCTGTAACATTTTGCTTGCATTTATTTATACACACTTTATACACGTAGTATATCAATATATTGCATGTAGTTTTTCACAAATTGCTGCAAATTAATTCGATGCTTATTTTCTATTGTTTAAACTCTGGCTCAGCACTGTACAAAAAAGATGCATTGCATGTAAAAAAAATTCTCAATAGAAATACAACAAAAGACCAAGCAATGTAGGATGTACAGCGCTACGAAATTACGTTTGAACAAAAATGAAACAACACTAACTTGTTCTATGGAAAACGTGGCCTACCCGTACAACTGCGGATATAGAAAGATGTCGTACATGCGCCTGCAGTAAAAAGAGACATTACATTCTCATTTGGGGACGAGTGTACCTCATTGACTCCCATTAAAATCAACTGATGAGGAAACTAATCGCACTAGAAGTACTCCTTCCTGAAATAAATTGCATCCATTAAAGGACACAGGAGACCAGAATTAAACGAAGGATATCACTAGCGATGGGGCATTACTGATTAACGTGCATTCATTACCATAAGGGAACGTGCGTGTTCAAAATGCAAACATATTTGCTAATATCCTTTCTGTAGAAGATTGCTGGAATACATTACTTGTTTTGAAATGTTTTAGCACAATGTTACGTGTTAATTCGTTTTACGTTTCAGCTCTATCAATACTGAACACGAAAATCCGTGATCTTGTTTGTTTTAATCATACAAGTTACTCGTTCACTGCACATACTATTTAGTAGCCCCGCTAAGCTTGTTGGTCCATGTATAATTATTTTGCCTCGCTATGATTTTCAAGATAGCGTGCCCGGCCTGATACAGGTCAAATGAAAGACAACCTATTATAGTGTTTTTAATCTTGTCAACTTTCTTTTCTCACAGGTGCCGGCTTGAGCCTGTGGAAGTACCTATCGACACCAGTAACTACTGATTTTTCTATATTTGGTGGAGTCCTCGGCTGTTTAATCACGCAAGCGCTAAACTCGACACCGTTTTTTGCTTCAACATTACTTGTAACAGTCGTGGCGGTAGAAAGATACCTTGCCATCTGCCGACCAATTGAACACCGGAAAATCAACTCTAGAGGGCGCGCTTTTACCCTTATCGCAGCCACTTGGGCGGCTGCTTTTTGCTGCGAAGCGTTTCTCCTCCCGTCCTATTCTGTTTACACCTCTAGTTGCGTCATGTGGCCTGACGACCACTATTTCAAGGAATTCCCCAGAACCATCGGAAGTTGTTTCACCCCGGCGCTCTGGACAAAGGTACTGGCAGCTTTTGTTCTTACTGTACCCATAGTTTTCGCTTTCATCTTCACTTTCGTGCTATACTTTCTGATAGTACGAAAACTGGGCAAGCGGATTGGTAAGCGGGCACCCAGCGAGCAGTCTTCGAATCGCGCGAAGTCTCGTCGCACGAGAAATCACGTGGCTAAGATGCTGATTATCGCTGGTACCGTATTCTACATCCTCCTGACTCCTCGCACAATAGTGATCCTTTATTACTATATAAAGTTTTTCGCTGGTACCACGGGGCTTCCCCCGGGTGTAGAGTTTATACTAGTCACTTCAACCAACATTCTTCTATATGTTAATTCTGTGACAAATCCTATCATTTATGTATTTTCAAACAAGCGTTACCGAACGGCTGTTATACAAGCATTTTACCCAGGTTCAAAAGTTATCACGGTTTCTCATTAAACAGTTTTCTTATCTCGCAAAATATACGCGGTTGCGAAAAAGAAAAAGTTTTTGTAAAAAGATAAAGGAAAGTATTTGTGATTTTCAAATTGAACAAAAATTCGCAAACAAAGACTAGCGTGGTTTCAACCGTGACATCATGATTGGGCGCCTTGCGTATGTTGTAGAATGATTCGTTTCGAACATAGGACCAGGCAGGGATAGGGTGTTGAATTCATTACATCCACAAACAAAATGCGCATTGTATGACAAGCATGGAATAAGTAATATTACGTCATAACTATCGGTGAGATGAAAGGGGTGCTCAGAAATTAACCACCCACTACTTTCGCTATTTGACACTAAGCAAATTCATTGTTCAAAAATGGCAGCGAATTTGTAATACTAGATAGGCAACATTTGTAAACTGATTAAGTATAGTAACTCAAGTTGTGTTGTATATATAAAATTGTCTTTATGTGTCTTCAATTATGTGCATCACTATCTTTAAAAAAAAATTGTAAAAAAACCCCTAAAAAAACAAAACGAATCTATGGGTAGTCATGCTGAAAATTTACCTTTTGTGTTCAACAAATCCAATGTGTCGAATTATTAACTTTATGCTATCATATGTTTTACTAAGCCAAAAACAAAATGCACTATATTTTCTGTTTCAGGCGTCTGTAACCGTGAGAAAGCATTCTGCTTTGGGTTTCTTTTGCGCACAAACAGCCGGCCTTGCCAGATAAAAAAAATAGACCCCGAAATTGTTATTGAAGAAGTATAGTGTATAGTAGCACAAACATTAGGTTTAAACCTTTGTTCTTATAATTTGTCTATGGTTAAACCAAAGTTGACAATATTATTTTAAAAAATAAGCTACTTCTTCATACATGTATATAGAAGAAACTCGTTAATGTGTTTAACTTTAGTAGAGTCTACCAAAAATATTAAGTGGTATACAAAAATATTTGGGCCTAGACTGGGCAAGCTCGAGGGTTACTGGTACCATTTGTTCCAAATTAATAAACAGTTGGGGTTATAGGGGTCGGATCTAGTGATTGTAGCTAGGAAAGCTTGGTAAACTGCCACAGGGAGTGGGTTGGTATATGCTGGAAAACCGGTGAAACAATTTTGAGAGGAAAAAAAGCGCAAACAGAGTGAATTAGTTGGTGATCGTTTGCTCCCAGCCATATGTTTATGTTAAGTTTATTATTAATGTCACTCCTTAGGGGGTTTCAAAGCTGGTCCCAGACCAATTTGGTCTGAGGGTCGTATAACGTACCGGTAGTCATTCGAGTCAAATTTTGGCAAAGGTGAGGCTGAAGGAAGTCTGTAGGGGAGACAGTCAGTCAGTCAGTCAGTAAGTCAATCCGTGAGATAGGAACAAAGATGATTGTGGCTGGCTAGAGAAGCATTTGGTATAAAATTGAGTAAAGTGAAGCGTCTTCTCTCAGCTGCTATAATGAACTCGCTTCACACATCATTTGGTATAAGTGGCACCTGTTCCTCGTCAGTTGTGTTAGCCTGCATTTCAAGCCGTGATCTCGGGACCCGTCTCCTGTAAGGTCACAAAATATGCATCATGAAATTCTGGTCTGTTGTCTGTGTGTAGCAAGTCTTAATTAGTAACTTAATACATAGCGACTCGAACCAATTAGACTCAATGTTTCATCAGCCATTCATTCATTACTTTGTGTTAGCTATTATGCAACCAATCAGGACATCTCCTTTTATTTCAGTGTACTAACCCTTTTCCACAACGATACTCCCAGACTCCAAACAGACACAGTACAATCATGACAGAGATTAAAGCACCTGCGAATATTGTAGTCGCGTAAGCAAATCCATAGACCTGCGTCAAAGCGCCCCCAAGCAAGGGCCCTACCAAGGACCTGTCCGTTAAAGGAAAATGTATACATGCATTAGGAATATGTGGCATCAGCTATATACAGTAACACCGTCAGAATTATCGGCAACAGTATCAGCAATAGTAACAGTCACGCATAAGCAACAGCAGCAGCAGTATCAACAGCTATTACGAAAGCAGGACAGACATAACAGCAGCAACAACAACATCAACAGCAGAAAAACAGAGCAGCAGCATTGGTAGCAAAAGCAACAGCACCACTTTCTATCCAAGCTCACTAAGATCCCCTTCATCCGGATTATCTACACAAACCAATCAACAAACTTACCCGAATGCAAATACACCGTTCCAGAGGCCAGCTATTATAGAAGTCACCCCAAGGTTGGTAGGAACACCATACCATCTGTTGAAGTAATTCATATATAAAATGCCTCAATAAGATGCAATGCATATTCATGAATGATTTTTTTTTTATTTCGTGTTCTTCCCTAACAAAATCAAATTGTCATCAACATTTTCATTCTGACTAATTGCTCCCTGTTTTCCTTTTCCATTGGCTGTCGTCGTTTGTAACTGCATGGACGTCGTGAAATAGTTCAAGGGGATATTTTCCCCTAAACTTTCTTCTGGGAAGTCCCACAAAGTATTTTGTGTTAGAAAAATAAACCATAACTTATTATTAAATTCGTCAGCATCAAGAAATATTTACATCATGCATTCTATATTATTGAAAGCATAGATACTATATCAAACTTAATATTGTAACGAATATTATGTAACAAAGTTGATATAACGTAAGTGGCACTCTCTTAAAACGACGCCATTTTTTCAGTACAATTAGAAACAGCGCATTATATTGAATCTTTTTTTCCCCACAACCTAAAAATAAAAGACTGACAAAAAATGTAATGCCTAAAGTAAGACGTGTAAGAACCCTACGTCAATAACCTTGGATTAACGCAAGTTTGTTTATGTACATGAAGTTATTCCACGAGTCAAAACTATTACCTAACAAAGATTGAGTTTTGCATTTCTACGTGGACTAACAACCGTGATCTCCATGTTTAGAAATATTGAGAGCTCATTGGCCAGTGTATGCTGTGCACATTTTGAAGCTACGCGCTGGTTCCCAATCCTTCTATTCGAATATGGTACGGGAACCAGTATAACGGTACCACTCCCATCACCAGCAGTTTATAATAAAATAATTAATGCCATAAATGTTTAAAAAAAAATATTTCAGTCACAAATAAATTTTTGGTAATTACAAAAGTGAATACATTTAATAAAAAGGTACAGATTGCTGTTAAATTAGAACAGAATTGTTTACAATTCCATTGTCATGGGACTGGACTGGTAATGTGGTGGACGGTGTTTTCACTTCCAACAGCCAATGGGATATCCAGACTGTGTTTTATAGGGATCAGTACAGGGACTTACTCTGCAGAGATGTACATGTCAACGAATGTCGGCATAATGAACAAACCCATCATAACGGTGCCAGTTGGAATAACAAGGATAGCTAGCAGCTTGGTCCTGCAGAAGAAAAAAACAAGTTCGGTTTCAGTTCCGAGGAAAAACGATCAGATATGGACTACAACTAGACAATAAAGATGTTGCCACTCTTTTGACTGATATATTATATTTTTTACAAAATCGTTATTTATGCATTGAGGAAATATGCGATTGCGTTATAAAATGCTTCCCCAAATTATGAAAGACAATAAGCCTAAACATTATTAAACCTTTTTATGAGATATGGCGGACACATAGGGGGCGCTGTTGGTTTGTATAAACTGTTTTGTATATTTAACCAAGTTTACCAAAAGCTGAATAGCGCCCTCCTTTTGTGTCCGCCATAATTTTCAATGGCTAAAATGAGATGCCGTAAACTACTGATTAAACTTACGAGGGTATTTTCAGCAGTTGCGACGGTCCAAGGAATAGGAAAAAGAGTGCGCTGCCAAATGCTCCAAAGACCATCATAATTCGTGTGGCTTTCTGAAACCGAAACAAACAACTTTTTCTCTAGGACCAAAATAACATTAAACGATCTATATAAACGAGGGACAGAGTACACGAGATGCAAGATATAAAATGTATCAGCCTCCACTCCAGGGGCGCGTGCTCGTTCCTTACGATCGCACAAGGCATGATGGGAAACAACATGGCGCTGCAAGATCGTACCCACGGGGTACGAGGTTGAAAATGTATCACTTATTAATAGACGCCATTTTTTTCGCAATGAGGTGTGGGAGAAAAGTCAACACATTTGTTTTGGTTGCGCGTGATTAAAGTTTGGTATCTCTGTCTGAATGATATGAGGATGTTTGTGGGCTACTGTACGTACTGTACGATTCTGTCATTTTGTCACCATTGTTCAATAACAATGGCGATAATAACGGAAACGGAAACATCGTGAGTTGAAAAATTGTGCGACCGCCATTTTCCCACTGTCGTTGACATGACAATAGTTCAACTAGAGTCGTTCGCATTTAAACTTCAGTGCGCATGCGCTAGGTACGTCACGAACCAACCACTAACCACTGGTCCTTGATCGAACTTAATCCTACTTGCTTCGCGCTAAAATGGAATCACGTCTATGAAGATGATAGCAACTTAACTGGGTTTTTGATTTATTACTGCTCTTACGTACCTTTGCGTCTGCAACAGCTCCCCAAATCACAGAGGAAATTGCGTAAGATAAACCGAAACTTAGAAAGATGAAACTGATCTGCAACACAGTGAAACCAAGCTGTGGAGAAAATGGGGGGAAACATTAGGCTATACCAATCAGTAAATAATTGACGACAGTAAGGGAACTCGTAAGTGGGTACGTTAAGAAAACGTTATTGATACATGTACAATGAATATTCATGCATGGTCAATTTATAGAGCTAGAAATATCTTAAGCCATGACATCAAAGAAATCTGTTGCTATTATGCGTGCATTATGGGTTACCATAGTAACGTACCTCTTTTAAATGAATCGGCACAGTTGGGACGAGGGATGTTAAGGAAATCGCTGCCACAAAGACAGCAAGTAAAGCCAACCAAATGGCTGGAATGCTCAAAACTAGAGTCAAGGGCCCAGACTCTTCCTTCTTTTGCCCTGATGAAAAGAAAACACACAACCAAGTCCAACCTTTTTTTTAAGACCATAAATTTGAGTGAATCGTATAAATAGATTTGTGTTAACAAGTTAACACATAATTTGAGGAGAAATCATTGGATCGTGGGGGAACGTACCCTGCTGAGGCAATAAGAAGAAATTGGCGATATCAATTGCAAGAACAAGCCCTCCCAGAGCGAAGAACGGAAACCGGAAGCCTCCTGCCTAAAACACACAACACACACAAAGAATAAATCAAGTGTTTCGAACAATTTTATTTAACCAGCGCAACTATTTCAACCACTTCAGCAAGTGTATTTACAGATAACCAGTGCCTCATCGACCTTGAACTGAAATAGTCCATATCTGAGCACTCGAGGACTTTGTATTAATTAACGACGCCATTTTGGAGTGTACATGTTGCCTTTACATAATTTATTGAATTGTTAACGTTGAAGCAATTCAATTAATTGCTACAATAATGGAGATATAAATAAAATCACTTTAATATGAGCGTCCTCATTCGATGAAAAATATAATCAATACATTTATCTTGGGTTTTGCCCTCTATACCCATTTAAAAATAAAAGAAAAATTGTAAATGTGTACTTACATCATATAACAGACCACCAATTGCTGGTCCGATTGCATATGCCAGCCCTCCGGTCATCTCAATCAAGCTCTGTTAACAAACATGTAAACAACTGATGCCACACCAATCTTATATACACTGATCTAACACTGATCATATGCTAATGTTAATCTGATCTCACACTAAATCTACCATCAAGATTACACTGATCTCTAAACCTATCTCACACTAATTAACCAACACTGATTGTTACACCGATCTCACACCAATCTTTTACACCGATAAACTACTGATTACACACGGACTGCCCTTCAGCGACTTACCACTGCCGTGCCGACATTCTCAGGAAAGGTAAACGCCACAATGGCCGCTGACGCAGTTTTTGTAGCCGAGCTTCCAAGCCCTTCCAAGAGCCTTATGGCAAAACTGAACGCAGTGAAAGTTGCTCTGGTTGGCATGTCAACAATAAACCTGCAAAAATCAAATTTTCATAGATTATTGATTTTCCCCCAAGAAATTTCACATAGGACTAATATTTTGAAGTGGATCATTGAAGCGCGGATCCTCTACATAAAGATAATTAACGACTTCCCAAATTTCTGGTATGACACTTGCGCGTCGTGCTCGCGTGCGCGCCTGGCGCACGTTTCAACCAAGAGATCTCTCACCCAAACAAGACATTGCATCCACCGGTGACGAAGGCTCCTGCCAGAAAAATAAACCGAGCTCCAAAAACAGGAATCTAAAAAGAAAAAACAAAGCAAAGTAGGCCCGTTCATGCGAAAAAAAGTCTCGAAATGTGAAAATATATTGTGAAGAACACCAATAGATAATAATGATGTAAAATGTCTGTTAAAGTTAATTCAAAGTATTTGACAGTACACAAAATTCCCAAATGTAAATCAAAAACCGGTGACTATTGATAAATCTTATCTCACATAAAACTAGTTGAATGCTTATGGTCAGAAGAGCGCACTTTACATCCTGGTATTATTGAGAAAAGTCCTCTGCACAGCATTGCAACAGTGCCCCTCCGGGTTTAAATGTTCACACGTTCATTAACTTTAACCCTCAGGGGTGCATTTATATGCAGAATCGTGTTGAACTGAGCATGGTTTTAAACAATGACATGTACACTAGACATGAGCTGAATAGACCAGGTCGCAAGAACGCCACGTTGACGATAAACAATTGAGAACCTACAAATTTGCCCCAAATCGGTGACCCAATGCCTGCAGTGAGGGCGAATGCGCTAAACACGAGTCCAATTACAGTCTGGTTCATCCCTTTCGCCTTTGCCTGTTAGATGTAAAAAAAAAAAAAATAATAATAATAATAATAATTATAACAAATAGACCTAACAAGAAGTCAGAGTTTCAGTTTTTCTCAGATTATTTTTTTATCTCAGGAAAACATTTTTTCCCGGGGATCTCGAAATTCAGAATGTATGTAAATGTGCAGAATTACACAAATTGATTACCTAGATGTATATTCCGCTAAGGAGAAATTCCTTTAAAAAAAATTACGGTAATCAGTAAGTATTTTGGGGAAAACGTATATTTGGGTAAAGTTAGTTATAAAGCAACAAGCGGATCCCAGGGTGTGGTATACTTTTTTTCTGTGTATACTACCTTGATGGGGTAAAAAAAACCCAGAAATATGGACCGTTTGGGATACTCACCTCAATGGGGTAGAAAACTGAAATTATGGAAGCGGCCATCATGTTTGACAGTGAAGCCATCATAGCGCTGGCAAAAGTGGCTTTCTGGTGGTAGGTGAACTTCGTTCCCGCCGGTTTCTCCTCAGATCTTTTGTCAATGTTGTCATTTTCTTCGTCAGCTCTATCCTTATTGGCCAAAGACGACGTGGGCGGGGCGCCGTTGGGCGGAGTTTCTCCGCTTGAATTTACATATTCTATCGAAAGCGAAGCGTTAATTTCAACCTTGTTTTCCATGGCTCTGACAAAATAATTAGGAATGCAAAAACAAAAATCCGTTTTTGACTTGGAAGAAAACAACAACAAAAGCTTTCATTAGGTTGATTCACTGAACTGTAGGCCTATTCTTTAACGTCTTTACGGTAAGATTTGGATTTCCATGGCGTGAGGTTAAACCTCACGTACAGGAAATTCACAGCGCTTCCTTTATTCTTTGATGACCTTGATGAAAGCCTATACCGTTAAGCCAAGGACTGTCGATTTAAAAAAGGAAAACTCTAGCACACCCCGAAGGTTTTGTGTACAATGTCGGCTGTGTAGAAACGTATGTTAGATGTCTGCCTACGGTACCGGCATTATTCAGTGCTAGCTGGGAAGGTTACAGACTCTGTGGAGGGGATGTGGCGATCCCCCCCCCCCCACCCCCCACGGCAGCATATGAGTCTGGCCCAAATCGGAAAGAGAGATGGACACATAGCTTCGTCCCATTTACTTTTTTACACAAATAACATGCTTCAGGATACTACAAACAGTTCCATTCATGAAATATAGAGTTAATTGTCTGTGTGAATGCACTGATGTATTAAGGTTTATCAAATAACTAGCTGTCCACAGTGCTCGATCTACAAACAATAGATAATTATTGACAACTGTATACGTACGGTACATGGGAACGACAGGATTGTTGTCCTCTATTCGTTACCCTGCATGGAAGTGGGCGCAATGAATAGGTGGTTGACTTTTGTGTCGTGTTATTCTCATTCAGACCAACGTACCTAGGCACAATTGCAGAATACCCCGCCACTCGATCTATCCACCTCGGACCTAGGCACAATTGCAGAATACCCCGCCACTCGATCTATCCACCTCGTAGCCGGCTACGAGGTCACGGCTGATTGACCTCAATAAACATTCTCAGCGCTACTTGAATGTACTATGCGTCATGCTCCATTGCACTCCCACTTCGTGACCGCGTAGCCGCCAACAGGGTAGTTGGTTTGACCTGCCCGCACACATAACTGTTGTATGTTGAAGCGTACGTACCGCTTCATAATGAATATGAAATAGTACTATGAAAGAAACGCAATCCACACCACGCACAACCGGTTAGTCTGAACCTTGTGGCTCACGTTGCATTGAATAAACTATAATTGTTAAACCATTGCAGCTATGACGTCACACTATAATTAAAAGTGTGGATTCGGAACTACGAGCCTGTTACACTGGTCACAACGTGTGGATTCGGAACGACGAATCTTTAGTAACGACCCGACATACAGATTTCTATGACCGGACCTGTTGTGTTGTTCCCTGTATACGCCCTCAAGCGCATTACTGGACCAAGCCCAGTCTTACGTGGCTTTCTTGGCTGTAGGTAGCTAAATTTCCATCACTTAACTCATAACTCATCACTTAAATTCTGATGGGAGGCAGGCTGGCTCTTAACAACAGACGCATATACATTGGGGATAGCCTGAGTGCTTATCAAGGACATATTTATGATCGTCAACTGATTAAATAGGCATTATCTTAGTAGGGGGCTCATGAATACGAACCCGGGATTCCCGGGTTCGCGAAAGCCACATTTGACTGCGCTTGGTCCAGTAATGCGTGGGTGATACCTTTAATGCCCATTTCGATCCTATCGCGCATGGGGGAAAAGTCAGGTAATAGTGCCTGGAAGACGCAGTGGACGACTACAGTTGGAGACATGATGGACGAAACGTTTGCCTACGATGACCAGCAACCCGTCTGCTCGATACCAGACGCGCCGATTCTCAATCTTTCGGATCCCAGTATCGCAACTCGCTACGAGTACAACTCGGTTCAGAGCGCCCTTGTCACGGTCATCTACCCATGCATTTGCCTATTCGGTATTCTGACTAACTCGATATTTCTGCTGACGGTTATTCGGGTGCCACACATGAAGAACGTAACCAACATCTACCTGAGTAGTCTTGCCGTATCGGATATCATGTTCCTGATAACAGGTGAGATGATATCTTTCTACTTGATTAGTTCTACAACCATGAGTTTGCCAATGGGGTGGCTGGGATGTTGGAGTCCAATGTGTTTTCAGGGAAGGGGGAGGGTATAGATCAGGTGTAACACTCAACGCGTAAAAGACCAAAAGTCCTGAAGTTATTAATCAATATTTGTAATTATTGACTAAAGACGTTATTCAGGGAACTTCAGTAAAATTGCAGATGTTTTTTTGCCAATGTGTTAGTCGAGGGAGGGGCCGGTTAGCCATCCAAAACCGCCCCTGGGATCCGCCCATGATATCAAATTAATTTGTAGATGAATAAAATAATGCATTTTCCTAATTCCGCAAACTTTATATTGATTACTGTATGTTTTTACCGTTCAATTTAAACACAATTAGCATTCCATTAGCTTCAGAGTCATTCCGTTAGCGCGAATTTGAATGTAGCTTAAGATTATAGTTCAAATATATATAAACAGAACATTCCATTTAGTTTTTCAAGCATGCAATCGGGAAAATACAGCAATCGACTAAAGTACTGCGCTCATTCGAATTGAAACTATCTGCGAAGAACATTCGAATTTGAAGCGAGAACATGTGGTCAAATGAACTCATCGATGGGCAAACATTTTCGACATTTTGGCAATGAAATTCATAATATACCATTTCTGGAAAATTATCACAGAAAATTGAAAGAATCTATAATTCCAAGAAGAATTCAACATTGATAGAAAATATTGTTTCATTGAAGGAATATAAAACCATGATGAAAGAATAGATGCCTAAGAAAATAAACGACAGCTCGAAATAATAAAAAATAATAAGTGCAGCTGTCTAGTGAAGGCTTTTGTTTTCATTGCCAGGCCCGGATTAAGTGTTTCGTAGGCCCTAGGCACCAGTTTTCCGTAGGCCCTACTCCGCCCTTGGTACCAGCACCAAATTCATGTTGATGCTATTTGATCACTGTACAAATCCAGCCAGGTCCTTGCTCTAAAATCCTGTTGCCAACAAGGGCGTCAATCGCTTCTCAAAAATGGGGGGGGGGGGTGGGTGTGCACATAACATGTGAATCTTGATCAGAACTAATGCGAGTGCGAAGCCTAAACTGCTTCAAGGGCGGATCCAGAACACAATTTGTGGGGGGGGGGGGGCCAAAAAATTTTGGTCCCCCCAAAAAGTGTGTCAAAAAATTACGGCGTGGGGTTCGGGGCCCGCTTAAGGGCCCCGGAAATTGTTTGGATTCTAGATGCTCTGTGGTGCGATCTGAGGCAATTTCTGACCACTTTAACCAATGTTTTTTGAGGAAAAGATGGTGGTGTACTCATTGCCTGCCTTTATTACGACGTCACATAAAAAAAAAAAAAAATGGTTTCGTTTTTTTTGGGGGGGGGGGGCATGGCCCCCTTTGGCCCCCCCCCCCCCCTGGATCCGCCCTTGAACTGCTTTGGGTTGGGCCGAACAATTTTTGGATTCTGAATTTAAAACGCTCTGTGGTGCGATCTGAGGCAATTTCTGACCACTTCAACCATTTTTCTTTGCAAAAGATCATCATTTAAACATCATGCTCGAGTTTGGATTATCCGTCCCCCCCCCCCCTCCGTTAAGCTCCCACCTTAATGGCAAATGAATAACATAAATTATACACCAACACGACGGAATAATAAAATGAAATGCTGTACCGCATGTGTAATGGCTGTCCTAATTGGTTTTAATGGACACTCGCCGTCGCGCAGTTTTCAAGAAATAATGCTTAAATATTCAAGGTCCAAGAAAAAAATTAAACAGGAACGTCACCACCCAAAACTGATGTTAAACAAAAGCTGCATCAATTTGTTCCAGCTCAGTAGGTACATTATAGCTTCAAGGCAATCCTGAAAATCCTGTTCTTTGGTTATTCAAAGCCGGTATACGCTTTCGCTGTTGGAGACTTACACGAGTTATATGCATTGGATATATAAATATACTTAGTTCAAAATTCAGTTGTATGTAATCTGTTCCGCTGATCATTTTGCGTGTTAATTTAAAGGAATTGTTTTAATAAGTAATCAACAAGATGACACAAAGTAAGTTAAGAGCCAGAATTAACTCAATTCTCCAATAGATATTGGTAATTGTATGTGAAGTCTTTTTAAAATTGCCTCGATTTTTTGTTCCGGCAGGTACTGGCTTTGGCCTTTGGAGGTATCTATCCACACCAGTTATTTCGGATTTTTCTTTTCTTGGTGGGGTCCACGGCTGTTTAATCACACAAGTTCTGAACAGTACACCTTTTTATGCTTCGACTTTACTTGTAACAGTCGTTGCGGTAGAAAGATACCTTGCCATCTGCCGACCAATTCATCACCGGAAAATCAACTCCAGAGGGCGTGCCTTTGCCTTAATCGCTGTGACTTGGGTGGTAGCCTTATGTTGTGAGGCTATGCTCTGTCCAACTGTCTCTGATTATACTGTGAAATGCGTTATATGGCCCGACGACGACTATTTCATGGAATTTCCTCAAACCATCGGTGGCTGTTTTTACCCGGCGCTGTGGGCCCAGATTCTGACGGCTTTTGCATTAATCGTTCCAAGCCTGCTGGCTATCTTCGTCACCTTCATCTTGTACATTTTGATTGTGCGAAAGCTCAGCAAGCGGATTCACAAGGCACCCAGTGAACAGACGTCGAATCGCGCGAAGTCTCGTCGCACTCGAGATCATGTTGCTAAGATGCTGATTACCGCTGGTACCGTGTTCTACATCCTCCTGACTCCTCGCACAGTAGTGACCATTTATTACTACATTAAGTCTTTCGCTGGTACCCCGGGGCTTCCCCCGGGTGTAGAGTTTATACTCTTCACTTCAACCAACATACTTCTATATGTTAATTCTGTGACAAATCCTATCATGTATGCGTTTTCAAACAAGCGTTACCGAACGGCTTTTATACAAGCTTTTTGTCCGGGTTCAAAAATGATTAATGTTTCTTCAAGTTCCTGAACAAGTCACGTTTTTTTTGCCGTTAAACGTTGCATCATTCTGAAATGCGATGCTAGAGTTCATTCTGTACCGTAATTTTAGGGTGTTTTGAGCAGGTTCTTTTAGGACACAATTGAGCATAGAAATTGACAGGATTGAGATGTGAACCCTTCACCTAATATTTTGGCGCTCTACCAATCTTTAATTAAATGTCCTGCCCTTTCATTTATTTTAATAGCGATTATTTGTCGTTTTCTTGACAACGGGTGCCATCTGAATTTTAATGAATAAGATTCAAAGTGACTGTTTATGCACATGGTTGCTGTCTGGTCGTATATAGAACCTAGATTCTTTGTAAATTTCGTCAAAGAAAATAACACACGTTTATGAATCAGCATAGCGTTATGGGATTTGAATGTTTCTGCTCGGACGTTTTAAGGTACTTTTAAATTGGTGTTTCGCCCACATCCAACACAGTTTTCTGTATGGACTGCCCATATCCAAAATCAAAAAAAGAGGCAGGAACATTTTAGGACATGATAATGGAAACACACGTTTAAGTAGTAAACGTTTAAGGAGACTTTAAAGCCCCTTTTTATAACGTTTAGCCAACACTTTACAAAAGCTACAGTCTGCCCTGTAAAATGGGGCACGACAGGAGAAGCATGGAACATTGCCTCAATATCATCATCAAGCGTATCAAAAATATCGAACGCTATCAATAATCAGTGAAACGCCACTATAACGAGCACGATGTGGTCCACAGAAAGTGCTCGCTATATAGTGGTTGTTCGTTATACTGATTGTGCATTATAATAGAATTCACTATTTCGGGAGCCCGTGGGGAAGTTCGTTATAACCAAATGTTCGTTATAGCGGCGTTTCACTGTATAAAGTATTCTGGTTAACCTTTACAGGAATTGAACTCCCTGACTGTTTTTATCACGGTTTAAGACTTATCTTTTTAATGAGGATTTTGTTTCCTTTTAATTGATGTGCTTGGTATTACAATTTTAATATTATACTTTAATTACACCTTTGGATCGACGGGTTGGCCGGCTGGTGGGTTTGCTCGTAGTCTGTTTGTTGGTCGTTCGGTCGTTTGGTTGGTTGTTGTGTTCGGCTGGTCATGTTTTCTAGTTTTGGTGGTCGGACTGTCTCTACTTCTGTTAATCTTTTAGTGTGTAGCTTTGAATGTTTTTAACTTTTAACCTTTACCTTTTAACTTTTGGTTTAGTTTTGATGGTTTTAACTTAATTGTACTGCGTATATGAGCAAAACTGATTTGAATATATGGCGTTAAATAAAATGTTATTATATAATAAGAACTAAGTAGGTATACATGTAGTTACCGACTTTTGAAAAATTTTAATCATTAAACTGGGTATGTGATCAAGTACACGTATAATTATGATGGATTGGTGCTTTGTGCATGTGTCTTTGTGTAGAAACATCCTCGATTCTTTGTAAAATAAAACTTTTCTTTCACAAATTGTGGTTTATTTTAAAATAAAACTATTTCGCATGTTAGGGTCCCATTTTCAGGGGTAGTATCCAAGATGGTCGAGATACTTTTCACATCCAACCCCACTTCGCTAAGGCCAGTGTGGAAGGAAATGTTGTGCCCGCAATATTCTGTCCTCCGGTCAGATTTGCCAGGATGATGTGTCCCCATACAGTTTCTCCTCGGTAATGGTGCCCCTCTTCAAATGAGAAGGTACGACATCTACATTATTTTAATATTTAAAAAGTAGTGAGGATAATGTCTGCTATCTTTTTAAGTAGATCCCCTGCACGAGGCGCCCAAACATATAATTAGGATTTCAAATCACCAAGAAGGAACACAGCGTCTACTTTTGTGTATCACATGTAGTCATGCATAGAGGAGCATAGATATGTCATCTGTGCAGGGCTCACTTACTCAGATCACCTTTAATCAGTAAGGGGTTTACCACAGTATTACAGTTTTGAATAATTAATGGAAATCGACCGATTCAAGAAAATCAGGTCGGGAAAAGACTTGCAGATACACCAAGTCTAATGTCTTTAATAATAAAGAAAGTTGGTTTGATTTTGAGAAGTAAAAACCACAGATAATGTAGGAAATTTCAAAACGTAAATAACCCAACGGGCAAAGTAAAAGGGACTCAGCCAACAAATTCCTGCAATTTCGCACCCAAAGGTCACTTTTTCCTTAACAAAACACGCATTGTAAACTAATCCCATAGATATGGGTGACTGTACGCTTTACAAACTACTAGAATACGAAGGATTCATTTAGAAAAAAACCTTCCCACTGTCGCAATTTTGCTCTAGGCAAAAATACAATTTATCAGAGGGCAGGGACCTGTAAAGAAACGTACCTGCAAGTCCTACTAAAATACAGGCACCTTTGTTGTTGATAGGTCATTGACGAGGTTAAAGGCATACAAGATCATTTGCTTTTTGCCTTCAATATTAACGCCATGCACTCAACAATAAAGAAAAACGTTCAAAACTGTGGAAGTTTCAGCATTCACAACCCTCCAAGGTGTTTGAGACACACATCAAATTGAAGCTTATTTCATCATCTTTCATTTTCCGTTCATTTTTGGGGGGTTTATTTATTTATTACATTTCTTTACCCAAGGTGTGCCCAAACAGTTTAAAACCATTGGGGCCCTGTTTCGATTGGGGCCCTGCATACACTACTAATGTTTATACACACATGTACAAATACAATACATTTCAAATACAATACACCACAATGAAATAAAATAAAAGCCTACAAGATTACTGCATGATCGTAAAGCAACTATTATAAATATTTTACACCATTACAAAGAAACATATACAGTTTGAAACGACATTGCTAAGGTGATTTAAGTTTACACGAGAAATTTTGGACATTTCTTGTGACATCAGCAAAATATACATATATTTCTATACATTCGCTGATTATGGGAGGGGTGAAAAACCCGTGAAAAACCAAACCAATCCAATCCAATGACTTTTGGGAGAAAATCCATCCAAAGATGACCACCCTTAAAGCAGGCCTGAAGCCATGGCTATTTTGAACGGACGTCTACGCTCAACTGCAAAATATAGCCATTTTAGTGCTAGTCTGGTTCCAAGACCAAAAGACTCTGACTATCCTGATGAATCTTAGGTCAGGCAGCCTCCGTGGCTAAAAATAAACATGACGACATTGATGGCCCTTTTTCAAAGCTCGGCTTCGTTTCCGATTTCGCTTTATCGCTTTTAGCTTTTAATGTTCTGATCAAATTTTTAATAAATCACTTGTTTCGTAATATCATACAGTTATGATAATACAGTTTGATGTTTCTGTAAGATAACATTGACTAATGTTGATCTGGAATCTTCAAAATTAGGCACCCAAATAGCACTGTTAGCAGGCGAAGCCGAATGAAGACCGAGTTTTGGAGATCTCAGTAACGGTCGTCAAATTCAAAATTGTACATGACGCAGCAAAAAGTTCGCCCATACGATCCGAGTATATTTGATGTACAAAATCGTCGTTGAATTTCAAGTTTTCTAAATGAAAGCAACGAATATTAATTATCAACTCATTTAAAATAAAATTAATAAGCAATTAGCAGTTAATTAAACCTATATTATATACTCGGAAATACTCGGGCGCTATCCGATTGTCGACGAAACGACTTCGGCAAACTTCGGAAATGTTCGGAAAAAGGAGGAATTCCTCCCCTTTTAGTCACGTGACGTAAATTGTAATACAATGTATTACCGGAGGCTACCGGACCTAAGATTCATCAGGAATAGTCAGAATCTTTTGGTCTGGGAACCAGACTATTTTAGTGCCTAATTTCACCACATTTCATACTTATACGCGCTCGCAGTCCTCTGCACGACTAGCAGCCTTCTTTTTTTTCAATCTTCAAGTTCACGGCCCCCAAAATGCTCTAATACCGGAGACTGTGAGGGCCTGCAAATTGTGATTTGGCCGGCGTGGGCAATTTTGGGCCTACTTACAGGTCTGCACCCCTAAAACGCCGCCATGAGAATGTCGGTTTATTGTTAGTGTGCGAACGACTTCGAAAATTATACCCAATGCATTTCTTCTTACATTGCAGCGGTTTGTCCGTAGTGGTAGGACTAATTGTAGTTATCTCTGGAATGTCAGGACATGTAGAAGTCAACGGCAAAACCAAACCGGCAGCATAAGCGTAGGACAAATATTCTTCGTAGCCATAGACAACGGCTGTGAACGATGACGAATGGGGATCTGTTTGCTCGACAAAGTAGACCCCTCCACCTTTGGGTAGTTCAACAGTGATTGATGTGTAGTCGGTATGAGGTACAGGACTTTCATGTACACCGGTTCCAGTAATTGGAGAGCCATTAATAGTCAGAGTTGAACGAGAATCACTTTTCACAACAATATTAATGTAATTGAAGAAACCATTCGGATCGTGTCCAGCGTTGGCAGGTGTCAGGAAGCCAACTTCGTAGCCGAAGTGCTGGACTGCGGGCACCTGTGTCAAAGACGGGTCGACTACTATGTTGTTGATGGACGCCAACTGCTGCATGACGAGGATTGGCTGGCTTGCCGATATGAGTCCGGAACCACTCAGACTCCCCTGCCAGAAGTCTCCAGGTTCTAGTGATATATCTTCGTATCCCGGGATGGTGAGTGTGGTTTCGTTACAGTAAGCGACAATTCGGTAGGTGTTCTCATCGTCACTCCGGGCCGCGGTGTAGATGTGCTCCTTTCCCCAGCTCCTGACGGGAACGAGCTGCTCTACCAGCGTGTCGCAGAATGTACCCGGTTGATTTGCACAGTGATTGCCACTAAACGCAGCAACCGGTTTGTCAGTTTGAATGATACTTCCTGTTAAGTCATCGGGGGAATTTTTTCCGGCCCAGATGTGAACCGATTCCAGTTTATTTACCATGAACTTTACAATGTCACCAGCAAAGTAAGTCTGTCCTTCGAATGATGTGCCACCGCGTAAAGTAACCTGAACCGAAGTGGAATCTTCAGTACCAATGACGGCAAACTGTGACGAGATCAAAGGCGCAGCCGTAACCACTACGTACTGCTGACCAAGGCTATTTACGGGTATACCAAGAAAGCCGTCGGTTGTAGTTCGCTGGTTTAGAAATCCGTGCACTGATATCTCATTTGAAGCAACGATCTCAATGGCTTTCAGGCTACGCTCACTGCCCAACATCGTGAACTCATCGGGGATGTCAGTCTGTTGAGATCCCCTAGGCTGAAGGATCAGGTCTTCAGTGAACGGTGACCCATCTATCTGAAAGTTGCTGCTCATGTTGACCGTTGTCAGCTGATCACTCATTGTCGATATGAAAATAGATGGCCGCCTGGTGTTTTGGTATACAACTAGGTTATCAGTGAAACCAATGATAAAGTGTTTACCTTGAGTTTTTCCCGAGCACTGCGCAACAGCTGACGCTGGTTTCTCGGGAATGGCGAAGAACAAGACTACCACACACAAGATGTGATGTGCCAATGAATGATCCATACTATAAAGCAAAATTAGAAATTGAAGAGAAAAATCTTCAGAAATCAAAGTAGACCTATACAGTGTATTTAAGCAATCTGTAAAAATATTTTATACCTAACTGTATAGTTCTGTGGTAGTCAATATCAATGCTTGCATGCATTTAGTGACTTGCAGATACGATATTCGTGTGTTAAAATATTGCACGCTGGGGGGGGGGGGGGGGGGGGATGGTGTCCGACCTCTCCCCCCCCCCCCCCCCCCCCCCCCCCCTCCTGCATACGGGCATTATGCAGTAAATATGGCTTGTTGAGGCAGCTTGTTTTTGTTCTTCGATTTCATTGCCATGAAATGACTGAGAATATTACTAATAGGATCACGGTCCATCGAAAGGTTATATTCAAAATATCGGTACCCATTTATACCACTACAGGAACGAGACAAGTGGGGTAAATTGGCTTGCCCAAGTAAATGATGAATTATTATCAGCAGTTAAGATCTTGGACGTAATTGTGGGCTTTTCACAATTTTATTTAATATTCACCAAACGCTGATAAAAATTGATAAAAGTAAAAAATGTAAAAGTTATAAACTTGAACACTGTCAATCAAAATGGCTTCATCTGAAAGGCAATTCACTAGATTTTCATTGATATCTTATTTGCATCTCTTCAGTCAAGGATGACAGAGTACACAATTGATTTCGAAACAAAGGCCAATAAACCCCTGTTTCTAAGTTTGCAGAAGGAGTAGTGAGTTACATTTGTAAGCTGTCAGCTGTGAATTGAGCTGTCAAAAAGAATGTGCATTCGCAGTGGATTATTTATTGAAGTGAATTATTTATTGAATGTTAGTAAGACATTCTTAAAGTGTTTGAGTATAAATGGAATAATCGTGTTTCATGATTAAATCAATCATTTCAAAGTTTCGATGTTATGTAGTCATGATTAAAATAACAACTACACATAGGCCTACCTATTGCAAAAATGTACTCAAAACATAGCTTGGGCGTTGCCCAACTTGGCATGGCTTTGGCTATGCCCAGTTGAAGCTGTTTTTAACATTTTTGAAATTGGATTGCTAGTTTGTGATGAAAACAAAATCCTTGGAATGATTAATTATAAATCTCCTATTAACGCACTGTCCACAGCAGCGACAGCGCATTCATTATATAGTTTAACTCACCACTTCTTCAGAAAACTTGGAAACAGGGTTTATTGGCCTCTGTTTTGAAATCAACAGTGGTGCTCAGTCATACATGACTGAAGAGATGCAAATAAGATATCATTGAAAAGCTACAATGAACTACCCTTTAAGGTGGAGCCACTGTGACAGTTTCAAGTTTATAACTTTTACATATTAACCCAATTTTTTGGATTACCTTCATGATTTTGATGCACACTGTAGATGTACATGTACATGTAGTGCAATTTACTCGGGTGAGAGGGACAAAATGTTAGGTGAAGAAAGTTCTGGATACTTCGCGCTGAAGTTTCACTTTGAACTGCCTTGGAATGGACAAAATAGGTATGGTTGCGAGGACCAGGACAGTGAACGTGGATTCATCGAAAATCAAATTCATACCATCTTTCAACAATCTATTAGTCCGATATTAATCCTGTTAGTTTCACGGTAAGCTAAATAATTCGCATTACCTGTTTGTTGATTGTCACGTCTGCTCTGATTACGTCTTGGTGGATGTCTGTAAGCCAGATTGAACTTCCTAGTGACCCATCGGTATACCTGCAATAAACTTAAATCACATGCAGGTGGGAATTGATGGCACGTGATGGTACACAAAGCCTTTAGAAAACGTAGTTTATCAAAGGCTGTATTATTGTTATTGGCTAAATGACCTCAAATGAACATCAACAACACTGAAAAATTCCTGGCTATACGCCACTGATCCACAATAACTGCCACAGCGTATCTCATATTCTTTGTTCGTGATTAGGAAAAAAAGGGAGAAAGAAAAAAGTTTGACCTAGGTTTATCACGAACAACAACTGCGCTGGATTTTGAGTGCCCAGGTCAAGGCAGTCGTCGATTGTGTCCGTCATGGTGTCTGAATTTTATAGCACGATTCGAATTGTATAGCGGAAAAGTTCTTTTTCTTTTCAGAATCGAGGCCCCATGAAACCTTGTCGCCCCCCAGTCGCCCCCCCCCCCACCCACACTGAGATTTTGAGTTTCTAAAAAAATTATCATTGATCTACATGACGCCCCCCATGAAATGTTCCAGCCCCCCCCCCCCCCCCACTAAAAAATTACTGGCTATACGCCACTGATCCACAATAATTGCCACAGCGTATCTCATATTCTTTGTTCGTGATTTGGAAAAAAAGGGAGAAAGAAAAAAGTTTGACCTAGGTTTATCACGAACAATAACTGCGCTGGATTTTGAGTGCCCAGGTCAAGGCGCAGTCGTAGATTGTGTCCGTCATGGTGTCTGAATTTTATAGCACGATTCGAATTTTATAGCAGGTACCAGCATTTCAAAGGGCTAGGGGTTACCAAGGGCGATTCCGCAACGTATCTCAAACGCCTTGGAGAGTTGTGAGTATTTCAAAAGAAATTGGAAGTATACGTGTAATTATCACTCAGGTCTAAGGGCCTTATTCACGGTCAGCCATATTAGATTGAGAGAGGGGTACAATCTTCACTTTTGGAACTTGTGTATATAGAGAAATGAAAGCAATGACGTTTCAAACTAATGCTAGTCTGCTCTGATGAATAATGTAAAAAATTGTGATTAAACACACTTGAATGTTTTAAGCCACATTTAAACAAATAATAAAAGTGAAGCTATAGTGAATAAATATAGTCTGGCACCATAATGACCATCCCATTCAACAGTTCACAATTTATGAAATACATTCAGGATGCACCCCTGTATTAACATTCCCATAGGCACCAGTGGTAAATGTCCATACTTCAAAATTCTTTTTAAAATATTCAGAACTCTCACAGGTATTTAAGCTGCACAAAAATAATGATTAACATGTTATCTTTTTATTTTATTTTCATTTTTGGGTGGGTTGACTATTGACTTTAAAGAAGACGACCCCTAATTTTCAAAAAAAAACCCCAACATCATGGCTCAATAGCGGGGGCCGTATCATAAGTCCGACGCCTCATAGGTCCGACGCCTCATAAGTCCGAAATTTCGGACTTATAAGGCACACAATATGTTTATTCCTTCTCATAGGTCCGACGCCTCATAAGTCCGATGTCGGAAAAACGAAGCGTACGAGGCGTCGGAGCTATGAGGCGTCGGACTTATGAGGCGTCGGACTTATGAGGCGTCGGACCTATGAGGCGTCGGACTTATGGGCCTTTACTTGGTTGCTAGGGGGATGATATTTTGTCGGACTTATGAGGCGTCGGACGTATGAGGCGTCGGACTTATAAGCGGACCCCTAGCGCCACTTTCTTCAGTCGAGCCCAATTGCATCCAAAATGCTCCGAGTTGGAAGCCCGAAGTCCGGGCCAGAGGTTCATTGCCATATAATTATCTTCAATTCCCCAATTGTATGGCTCTCAGAACTCTCTAATATAGAATAATTTTGAGAGTATAACTTTTATTCATGAGCTCGGCTTGGGTTTCGGCCTATTTCCCGGTGTGCACCCTTGCACTGCAATTTCCTTAAATTATACCTTTGTCATTCTTTAACGGTTCCTGTCAATATGAAAATATCATGGCAAAATATTGGACGAGATTTCAGTTGAATGCAAAGTTTTTATCTTGAGTTACAAAAACCTTTGTTTACATCTGGAATGGACAGAATTAAGTCGGCGCGCGGTTTTATTATATGTCTATGGCGGTGAGCCGTGTTATCGCGCCCTCTTTTGTAAGAAATTGATGACGATTTAAATCCAGAGGCCAGAGGTTCATTGCCATATAATTATCTTCGTTTTGTTCTTAGGTTTTAATGCTAATGTGCTTGTATTTTTATTATTTAATTATTAATATTATCTTCAAGTAAACTTGAATCCTCGATCCTGATTAGTTGATCCATGGCAACAAGCCATGGATCGACCAATCAGGATCGAGGATTCAAGTTTACTTGAAGATAATACTAAATGTATACCATTAGGGAATTATCGTCAGTTCTACGATAATCGGCCTGGAGACACCGGTCATTATGGAGACACATCATCTCCCGAATGGCACAACCCCCCTTTAAGACTAATTAAGAGGCAAAATGTTAATATCGCATCGCGCAATTAAGTTGTACTTGTTGCTCGTGGTCTCATTAGTAAACATACTGAAATTCGTGGAAAAAAGGACAAGGGAATATTGGGTTTGGGTACATTTAAGTTTGAAACTTCCCATGGGGGGGGGGGGGGGGGCGGAAAACATCAACGTACGACTACTAGAGTCGAGTAATGGCAATCTAAACAACAGAGGGCGTCGCGTCTGATGATCGATATGACATATGATGCATGCGATCGAGATCGAAAACACAGAATCGACAAAATGGCGACTCCTGGCGGAATGATGAACAAGAAAAAGAAAGATTTCCTCGGTGTTTCAGCTCCTCTTGGTTACGTTCCTGGCTTGGGACGAGGGTAAGGAGATTTGCAGTAATGTCAACTTTCATGACACTGCAAAACACTAAAGTACACGATTCGCGTTTATACAACAAACATACAAATGAAAATGTTGAAGGTGTTGTCCGGAAATTGGGCACAAACTGATCGGGCAAAGTTTTGCAAACGTGGCACTTAAATCCCTACGAGGAAAGATTTCCATATACGAAGTTCACTAATTGTCCTCTGTATTGACTAACAAGCCCCCAGATAGCAATTTCATGTCATCAAAGTCAATTTGAGCAGTGAGAAAATACAAGCATTTTCTTAGAAAACACTTGGAATTTTCCAGCCAATCTCATAGCATGCATAGGGTTTGTACACAGGGTGTTGAGTGAACTTCGTATATGGAAATCTTTCCGACTTGACAAACCGGACATGAAAAAACCATGCAAGTGCAGTGGTCTCCATATTTGAATAACAACAGGAAATTAATAAGATGGAATTTTGCGTGTCAGGGTGATGTAGGCCTATTAGGTTTTGCCCTTCACCGACGTATAAACACTGTATCTAAAATAACTGTTAGCTCAGTGGTCCAGTGGTGAGACATCTGCACTGTTAGTCGTGGTTAAAGTCCCACCCGAGTGATTTTTCCAACTTTCAGTTTCACTCGGGAGGTAACACACTGAGTATACATTGTGTATTATACGTTGGTGAAGGGCAAATCCTAATTTGATGAACAACAGGAAAGTTGTAGACTTTGTAAGCAATCGCCGCTAGAGTAATTTTTTATTGCTTGCTCGGTCCTCCCCCCCCCCAAAAAAAACTTTTACAAGCATTACTATAAATCTCAATGTTACTTATTGTCATTGAGTTTAATTCCCTTTTTATTCATTTATTCATTCATTCATTTATTCCTTTGTTGTTTTTAATTCATTTCTCCGTGTATTCGTCTTTTTAATGTTTTTTTTTGGCATCAATGAAAATACGGCTCGCATTTTACCCTCGATATCCTATAATTCACGTGTAAATTCACGTAAGTGTCATGCACATTTACCTACTTGTCGTAAGCAGGGCCCTTCCCCATAGCCCAATTTGTTGACGTCATCGTGTTTCACAGGTCACCGTACAAATATATACAGTGTCATACAGTATCTGCCCCCTCTAGTATCTGTGATCATATTCACCATGGAAGACACTTACCAGTACCCGGTTGATATCGTGAAGACCATCACAAGACCATCACAAGACCATCACAAGCCCAACACAAGACCATCACAAGACCATCACAAGACCATCACAAGCCCAACATAAGACCATCACAAGCCCAACACAAGCCCAACACAAGACCATCACAAGCCCATCACAAGACCATCACAAGCCCAACACAAGACCATCACAAGACCATCACAAGACCATCACACGACCATCACAAGCCCAACACAAACCCAACACTAGACCATCACAAGCCCATCACAAAACCATCACAAGCCCATCACAAGAATATCACAATAAGACCATCACAAGCCCAAGCCCTGACATAGTAGGTCTTGGAAAGAGTGCTACAGTACTCTGACATCACATGACCTTCCGGGTTGATTTTCGTAATTCGTCTTTTCTTTTGCAGAGCCACTGGTTTCACTACACGGTCTGATATTGGGCCTGCGAGAGAAGCCAATGACATCAGGTATGTGCACATACAATTTGAGCCTGCATATTTACATGTACTGATGTAGGACTAAACTGTGGTGATATTCTTAAGGATTTTTCCTGATTTCAGTTTTTTCATAAGAATTTTTCCCTGTCTTTTGGATTTGTAAAGAGTTCCCCTGTAAATCTTGAATTCCTAAGTTTCTGCAACCCTTTACAATGTAACTGTATGTTTTGTATGATTCTTTTGGAGTGAGTACTTGACTACTAAACTGATAATGCTTATGGGGTCAGGCATACCACCATAATCAGAGTCCAACAGTTTGGGTGTTGAGTTGACCATATGGTGTTGATTTTGTAAGAGTGAGGAAGGTTCCTAGTAAAATCACTCAAGGGGTCAAAGGGTTAAATTCTTTTTACAGCAGTTCCTTAGACTATTGTATGGTCCATCTTTTCAAAAAGTTGGGAATGTACTAAAGAAGCTTATAAATAAATATGTATGCTTAAAAAATAAATCCATTGGTTTCACCCCTTTGGTGCAAAAAAAGGAAAGATTTTTTTTAAGGGGGGGGGGATTTAAATGAGTCCTCAACCATGCCCTTTCACTACTCAGGAACTCATCTTTGCCTTTGAAAACTTGAAATCAGCCGTTTCTGTCTTGTTTTGTTGTTGACAGTGATGACAGACATCCAGCTCCGAAAAAGAAGAAGAAAGACGACGACGATGAAGAAGAAGATCTGAATGATAATAACTATGATGAGGTGGGTTAGGGGGAGAACAGTTTGAATT